TCCCCTTACCCATCTTCCCCACAGGAAAGTCATCGGAGGCATCGACGGCAGCCACATCAAGATTCCTGCCCTCACCGAGCACCAGCAGTTGGCGTACTACAACCACAAGAAGTTTTACTCCATCATCCTGCTGGCGATAGTGCACAACCGCGGCCTCTTCCGGTGGATCTGCTCCGGCTGTGCTGGATCGTGTGGGGACAGCGGTGTACTTCAGAACACGAAGTTCTACAAGGCTGCTCAGCGCGAGCAAAGCAAATCGGTTGACGAACGCAGGATCTTCGCGAACGGGGCGTGTGTCCTCGGTGATTCGGCCTTCGCCGAGGGACCGTGGATGCGTACGCCGTTCACCTTGCCATCCTCTCGGGAACAGCGGTACTTCAACTTCATGCACTCACCCATGAGGATGCGAGTTGAGCACGCTTTCGGCAGGTGGGAACTTTTGTTGACGCCATGATTTTGCATGGGGGTGGAGGTGGGGGGTTGACGCCAGGAAGAGGTGGGGGGGGTGACGCTAGTAAGAATCTTGTGTTCGGAACAGCGTGGCGTGCAAATATCTTTTTGTTTTCGTGTAAGAATCCGGAATGTCGCGGTGAACAGCGAACGCACCCAAAACAGGGAGCGATATGATTTCCCGGATTTGTCGAGCATCCACTTGGATTCGAATGGTTGGCGTGGTGTGATACGACTGACACTCACTTTAATATTGTTAGTACCCGTCGAAGGAATGTCTGTCTAAATTACAATATGTCGTGGTTTTTGTACACGGCACCCTGAAACCCCCGTGACCATCCAGGCTAAAAGGAAGTTTCTCACGCTACAGCGGGGCCTCCATTTCAAGCTCAAGGATGCGCCACTCACAATCGACGCGTGTTGCACGCTCCACAACTTCTTCCTCGTCCACGAGGGGGCATGGACGTCTCACCAGGTGGTCGATGACGCGCAGACGAGGAACAGCACCGGCAGGTCCGCCGGTCAGGTGGCAGGGCAGACAGCGTCGGCAAGAGATGCCGAGACTGCCTACCTCGCATCTCTCTCTCTCTCGAGCGAGACTGGGGAAGCCCTGGTTCGTTGCAAGACAGGCAACGAGTGGCGAGGGAGAGGGAATTTCGCGAACAGGTCTCTTGAATATTGCTGTTGTAATTGGGCAGTGGTAGAGAAGATACGTCCCTAGATGGCAGCGTTTGCGTCAAAGATTATTTGTTGTTGGCCGGAGCACCGTTCGTCCGATCAGGATGTGACCCACATAGGCTCGTATCCTTTATGTATTTGTTGTTGCTTGCGCTAAAGCCGCTTTTTGGAATGTAGACAACCGAATGTCCGTTCCTCGTAAGCTCATAGAAAAATATCCGTGTTGTTTATTAGCAGTTATTCTTGGGAGTATTTGAGCGACCCACAAGGCGAGTACACAGTGTCGTGGGTGTCGTTGACAACATGGTGATCGACATGAGCGCCCGACAGTCACTATGTAACCCCCCCCCCCCCCCCCCCCCCCGGTCGCGAAAAACTCCACGGGTATACTTTGGAGTACGGGGTAGGGATAAAGTCAAACTGCCCCACTAGCCTATACAGAGGTAGGGCTGGTTGCGGCCCATCGTTGCAAGAGAGTATGCATCGAGTCTTCTTGGTACGGTATCCCCGCAATATTTTGTAGCTCGTATTGCCCTTTCATTTGCCAGGTTGTGTTGTGCTTTGGTGTCATCGGACTGACTCCGTTGCGTTGTTTGTCGCACGTGCCGCGTGCGTTATGGGGGCGGGGGTATAGGGCACAGGCCGAGGTCCAAAACACAGCCCCCATGTTTGCATGCACCGCCCATTTTGTGGTAATTCCTACATGTTGCATTGCTTTAGTTATTTGTCTGTAAGCTACCGCGATACCCCCATGGTGTTGCCTTGACAAGCGGGACCGAAGGTTCCTATGTGTTGGGTTGCCTTGGGTAGTAATGCAACGAAGTCATTCGTACAGATCTATGGACCCGTGAGGCATCCCTCGTAAGAGGCCCTTTCAAGCGATACACCCACGTGCGATTTAGTCGGTTAACGCTTGAAAGCAAGTGCCTTGTGGTTATATCGATACCCTATCCACACACCCCCAAAAAAAATACACACCCGCTCACCTCGTTTATTGTTTTCTTTCGAGTATTGTTTTCTTTCGAATCGCGCTTATAATTACTATTGTAAAGCCCGGGGGGAGACAGAGATACCAAAATCGGCAGGCAGCACGTTTCCCGCAGACACCTTTCTGTGGCCTTTCTACCCTAAGCATATTGTCTCTCCCGCCAAGTACCGTATCTACTCTTCCCTCCAATTATGCACCGAGGGTGCTCTTTCCTGCAGGGGAGGGAACCTATATTACAGCACACCGAAGTCTCGGATGACCAAGTCCGTCCCAAAATGGTATCCTCCCATTATCTTCGCTTCCCCATCTTCGAAATACAAAAGGGGTGGGTGGGTGGGTGGGTAAAAGACTCCGCTTGTTATCAGCTTCTCAGGCTGGCATATAACTACATCGTAGAAGCCTTTGATGTGTCTACCTCGCTCGTTCGTGTATGCGCTACTCTCTCTGTCTCTGGCACGCTCAGACTCCGTGAACACAAGAATTACACAGAGCTGTCACATACATGTGCGACTCCTGTCGCCCGAGGGGGGCCCGCAGTACGCCATATTTCCGGATACCCCAACACAAACAGCATGGCAACTAGCACAGTTTCGAGAAAATGCCACAGATTTTGTTTACGCCTTAAACATACCTGCCCTATTATCGTGTAACGTAGCACCTGCATAAAATAGCTACCGCCGAGATACCCGGACTACCGCAAACGCGTGGCCTAATAACCCCCAAATCGAAAGCCGGTGCCGCCAGCAATAGCGGAAACGCACACGATCAAAACACCCACCACCTATTTAGATTAGTTGCCCCCGACAATTCTTACGTTGCCTGGGCAGTAAACTACACTTCTGCAAACACGTTCACCCCGACATTCTGGAACACCGCCACCGTCAAACAGCAAGCTCGTTCCCGCTGGGGTAACACGAACCACGCCTCGCGACAGAATAATGTACCGTTCTTAGAAAGGGTCGCTACGTGATCCGCCAACACAGAACGCGAATCAGTCAACCGCCAAAACCGAAGACGCTCGGCATCATAAGCATCATTCCTCCCTGTTCCAACACAACACAATACCAAGAAGGAAGACTCAACACCCTAACCATGCAGGACTACTCGACCGACAAGACCACACGTGGAAAGGAAATGCAACACTGGATCTAAGACGTGCTCTTCTATTGCTAAAACACATGCATGCAAGTAGTCTAAGTATGCCAAGTATCGTCCGCTTACACGAATAAGAGGCCTGAAAGAGTGCCGACTCGCGTCGGTACACCCCTGTCTCCGGTAGAATGTAGAAACACTAAGCATTCCCCAAAGTCAACCTCGCCGGCGTTGTTGACATCTCCTAAACTCCACGCGAAGTACTCCAGGTGACACCATACGACATCTGCCTGGCAAGAAGGGCATGGGTCTACATACACAACACAATTAAAATACGAGCACACATGTCACGAAACACAAACAAAACAGGAATGAAACAACACAAAAACACTCAAGAAGATAGTGGACACTCACGTATATGTGAAGTCAAATCCTACCCAGCTCTTCCGCTTCCCTCTCTGCTTTCTCTTTATCTTCCCTCTCCGCTTTCTCGATAGCCTCTTGGGTTTCTTTGCTAAGGCCCTGGAAAACTGCCGATCTGTACGCATTGGCAGATACTGCCCCAGACTGCTGGAGATGCCTGAGTTGTTCGAGATCCCTAGTCCGCAAGGCCTCTTTGTGTTCGGCCTGCCTGTGCGCAAGCTTCCTCTCTTCGAGGTCTTTATCGCCCCCCCCCCCCCCCGGGGGGCCCCCAATGGTCCCTCAACACCCACTTTTGGTGGGCCAAAATTGCCCGGTTAACCCTGTGGCCCCCTTCCCAAACCCCCCGAAGGGTTCCGCCGGGTTTTCCCCCTTCCCTTTGCCCGGGGCCCAGGGGGAATCCCCCCCTCCCCCTCTCCCTTTTCCCCTCAAAGGGGCCCTGGGTTTCCCTGGGGACCTGAACAAGGGGGGGGGGCCAACCTGCTGGAACACCCCCCCAGGAACCCCCCCCCCCCCAAACCCCAAGGAAGGGGGTTCCTCCCTGGAAATAACCCCCCCCCAACCCCCCCGGGGCCCAACGAAGGGGTTGGCCGGTTTCCCCCCGGGC